AAGAGAAACAAGGGAGAATAAAAAAACGATGGAACGACGGGGTGCCGGCAGTAACGCTTGCCAAGCAGGGGGTGCCTGCAGATCGATCTGCAGGCCACATTTAATATGTTTAACTGCCCCATTTTCCCCGAGGCGGGGTGGGGCCCTGATGTTTGCCAGGGCCCTGGGCTGTAGCCTGGAAAAGCCTGTGCATTAACCTGCACCTGGTGATACCATGTTAATATATCACAGGTGCCCGATAGATAGGTTCTTTCCAATCGGCCTCTCAGTGTTTACTAGCAATGGAGAAGACTGCGCCAGCTTGGAATTCTTCTTCATCCATATGTCTAGTTGCCTGGTTACTCAGGCCCTTAGCAGAATGACAGGATTGCCAAGTAGCCTTAGGATGCAAAGGAATAGTCATATATTAACTTTATGTAAATGTTAAAATGCACAACCACGATTACCTATGGTGCTTTGCTAAGCCACTCCTGTAGATTCTACCCCTAAATCCATCCATCCATCCATAGTCAGCATGGACCCTATCCCAAGCACAGGATACAAAGCAGGACCCAAAATCCCTGAAAGCTAAATGTTGATTTCAAGTATGCTATATTATATTCCTTGAGAAGGTGTTTATTTTTTGAAGGCCATTTATACAGGTGTGACATTACATTGAAGTTCAGTTCATCTTCATCCCATTACTGTTTAAGCTCTTGGGTGCCTTTGATTCATTCCTCTCAACATCATCCCATATATGTTGAGATGATCTTCTTTTATCTAGGGGAAACAAAGCAGAAAAACATCATAGATCTCCTTATATTTTCATTTCATTTCCTTTGGATGAATGTTGCCCCTGTGTCCCTGTGTATGCCCAAAAATAAACAGCAAGCAAGACCTGAAAGAGATAAAAGCCTCATTCTTTCCTGCTGCTCTTTCAGGTGCGTCCCAGTGGCCGCTACGATCCGGCACCATGCTCCCGCATACTCACACACCCCCCGGGCTTCCAACAGCTGACAGCTGTGGAGGATTCGCCTCTTTAGATTTCAGAATTACTCACGCTCCAGCTACCACAGACGCTTTGTTCCCCGGCCAGGAAATTGCCGAGGACAACCATGGGGCAAAGATCTGCAAGAGTGACGGAGGTTCGACCGTGACCTCGACTAATTAGCATCAGATGCCCGACCTGCGACGGCTAACCCATGCAGAAGCGATCGCACAAAATCCTGGAATAACCAATAACACTTGGGATGTTCAAAGCTGACCCATGCAGAGATCATTTAACAGCACAGGATTATCAAACGGAACTTCTGTGACAGGAATGTCTGGGTGCGCAAACCACCGCATCCTAAAGTGTTGACCTCATGAAGATTTTTCCGTAAATGACATTATAAAATGAATCACAAAAAGAAAATATTCATGCAGTCATTTCACAGGTTTTTTTTTTTTTGGCTTGGTTCGGTGTACAGAGCACACATGGCCAATGAATTTGATCCCTCACTGTTTAGATGATCATATTTTTAGCATTTAGCATTGCGAGCTGCTTTTGCTATTTTTCATGCATCTTGTCAGGCTAGCCAATAAGGCTAACCTTTATCTCCCTGGTTAGTTTCCTACCGTTTGACCTCAGATAAAAGGGAATGTTCCCTCAGTACCTACCACTTTAACCTTAAGTAGCCTCCCTGAAGACAGAGAGCTTTCCTCCACCATCTGAGTGCTAGTTACGTCTTTGCCACAGTGTCTGATGGAGTAGTATCTGCACAGGCCTCTCCAACTTCACCCCTTTGTCACCAAACCGTGAAACTCCAACCCTGCCCCCCTTTTCCATGTGAGCTCATACCCAGAGGTGGCTTTGTTGTTTCTGGTGTCACACTCCAAAGAGTCCTTTGGGCGGCCTGCTGCCCCCCCCCCTACTGTAATGACTACTTGTGGTCAGCAGGGGGCCCCCCAAACCTCGGGGGCCCGATACAAAAAATGTGATTTGAGTGGTAGTAAACACAACCGCTGCCTATAGCGAGAGCAGAGCATGTTAATTTAGATGTGCTTAGGGCCTGGGGAATGCAGCATGATTTTTAAACCCAAAGAAGTTTACCCATCTCTTTGAACACTGATCTCACGAGTCATTTTTACCCATTTAAAATAGGCTACATATACCATAAACTCATACCATAAATCATATTAAAGTGTGACCATCACTACTTGCGATGGACTTGCACCCTGTCCAGGGTGGACCCCAGGGTGGTCCTGTGCTGCCTGGAATAGGCTCTGAATCCCCCCACCACACTGACTAGGATAAGTGGTTATCAGATGGATGTATGGATGGATCATTATTGAGGCAAATATAAGCTTTTGACTAAATTAAAGGACTGCTACGGCTGCCTCACACATCACAGGTATGTGATTTACTGATGACTGCAACTGTCAGGATGAATAAAACAGAGCACAGGCGATCTGAATATACATCAGAAAGCCTGCATTCATCATTAATACTAGACTGCCTGCATTTAAACTAAAGAAAAATGGCTTGCAATTAAGAACACAAAAATCGCTGTTTTATACAGTTTTCTGGTGAACATGATCCTTGTTAGACAGTTTTTGTAGAAGGTATTTGGCCCATGAAATGGACAGTCACCTGGATTCAGGCCTCAACTTGCATATCAAGCTGTGCAATGGAATTAAGTTTAGTAAAAAAAACTGCACAGGTATGTCAAATGTCAAGAAATGGATCTCTTTCTAACTAAATTTCACAAATAGATCTATGGATCTCCATGGATCTCCCTTCCCTTTGAAAACTGTACTCCTTCACGAAGAGCTGCCTCTCATCATGTGAAAAAAACTGTTTATTGCTTAAAGTGCTTCATAAATCTCAAATTTCATTAATTCTACTTTGTTTTGTCCCCCCTCCTTTCCCCATATGGTAGTTCTTCCTGTTTCACTGGGTGGGTGTGTCACACTGATGTTTGTAGATCTCCAGCGCTCATGCTGAGTCGTCGTCTTTCATTTCTATGGGTAGGGTTAGTTTGGAATTGGTAGTTATTGATTTATAACCCCCCCCCCCACTGCTCTTCAAGGCTGAGTAAGTGTGGCACTGTTTCAGAATGGAAGGGTGTGTCTGTGGAAGTCATTGCCAATGATTCACTCCCATTGTCAGACTCTGCTCAGTACGAACCCCATCGCCCCCATTCTGTTTATTTAACAGAAGCTTTTATCAAAGCGACAGTCTCACTCGGCCCTCATGTAAGAACTTTCATGAAATTTCCAAAACTTCAGAAATCTTCTTGAATCCTGATTGAGCTTTGGAAATTTGCTCTTTAAGTTTGGGTTAAAAGCCTTACTGAAAGGCTCAACAGTGACATCACTCCACCAAACCTGGGATTTGAACTAGAAACTTGCTACTTACTGGTACAGTGTCCTAACCTGCTGAGCAACACACCTTCAACAGCTTTGACTCATCTGACATAATCTGGCTCCAGAACTTCAGGCTAACAGCCAGGGCATGCAGCAATCGTCAAACATTGCGACACCTCTACTGCATCCAGCGTTGATTTATTTTTGGTGTTTCATAAATGTTGCAAAACCGTCCCGGAAAACCCTGAACTTTCTCCCTTTCTGGTCCCCTACTAGTCATTGAGATTAGCTGCACAAAGCCTGTAGAGAAGAAGATGTTAATCATTAGTGCCCTTAATGCAAGCTCTCTTACAATAGAAGAAGCACCTGGATGACTTATTAGTTACACTTTTTAAACGATCTTATACTTTTCAAACATGCTAATGCTAAAGTCAGTGCAGCAATCCATCTCCTCCTGAAAGATCAGGCTTTGAATTTAAAATTTCAACGTATAACTCACAGACTGAACATCTGAAATTTGTTCGGAAAATTAGATTAACCCCAGTGGCACAATGAGTGGTATTAAGTATGAACAGAATTCAGTACAGACATTTTGTATATATGCCATGTTTCTACATTCATATTAAAGTTTAAAAGTTCAGTTGTAGATTTGGTGAAATTAATGATAAAAGGTGGTAAAACTCCTTACCTGTGACAACAAATTATACTAATGCAGTCACTGCATGTCTCATTCTGCTGTGCCACAATGTTTTCAAGGGCAAAAATCCTGTGTGGGGATTACCTGATACATAGCACAGCGGCAGAGGGCACAGACATGGGCACAGACATGGGGACAGACATGGGCACAGACATGGGGACAGAC